CTTTATTTGAAAAAAATATCATCACCTTTTTTAAAACAAAAAGACTTGGCTAATGAATATGACGTTAGTAAAGGCATGGTAAGTGACATTTTAAAAGAGAAAGACTATTGGCTTTTTGTAAATACTAATTCATACTAAGCCAATTTGAAATGTGATAAGAAAACTCTATTTCCTCTTATTGAAGAAATATTAGTAATATGAGTAAATAACGCATTCAAAGCTAGCCTCATTATTACTGATGATATTCTTTTAACAAAAACCTTGAGTTTTGCTTTTTTATTAAAGAAGAATAAGTTTAAAGGATTTAGTAATTGGGTGGACAACTTTAAAAAATGACACAACCTTAAATAATACTATATACACAGGGAAGTTGTAAGTGCGTTGCTTAAAGATCTTAAAATAATAAGAGAGAATCTCTAGCAAATATTAAAAGAATATAATCCTAAAGATATATTCAATTGTGATGAAATAGAACTGTTTGAAAGATGAAACTATGTCAAACGATATTCAACGAACAAATATCAGAAAAGAAACAATCAAAGGATTATGTAATGATCTTACTCACATATAATGTAATGAGAAGTGAAAAGCTGACGCCTTTGTTCATATACAAGTATAAAAATCCTAGAGTTATTAAGAATATTGATAACAGAACGCTTCTGGTAGAATACTATTAGAACTAAAAAAGTTGGATGCAGGTTTCAATCTGAAACGATTATATAAAAAAAACTCAATAAAAAAATGAGAAGACAAAATCAGAAAATTATTCTTCTATAGACAATACTCTGATACATGTTTTTTATGAAACCATCCACCTGATTAATATTACCATTCAATTCCTCCTCCTAAGCACCACTGCATATCTCCAACCTTATGATTAAGATATTATAAATAGTTTTAAGGTGAGAAATATAATTGATTTAATAATTCTTTAGTTAAAATATAATTGACATTAATTTTATTTAAAAACTAGGTACAAAGAACTATGAAATTTTATATACATAAATCTTATAAAATTCATTTTAAGCAAAACTTTATTGTATCAAAAAAATTTTGTTATAGAAAAAATTTGTTATAAAAAGAGTCATTTTATATATAAATTTTTCTGACTTTAATTCATTAAATATAATATGAATTTTTAATTATTAAATTCAGTATAGTAAAGGTTTTTTTATATTTAAAAATCTGTCTGATACTGAAAATCTGTTGTATTGTAAAATTCTTTATATTAAAATTCATTGTAGAAAGAGTTGACTGTATTACTTTAACTTCTAACTCAACAATAATAATACAATAAATTACACAACAAATTTCTTCTCCCACTATTAATGACTCTATACATGTACACTAACAAAAACAAAACTCTACTGATGAATTAAAAAGTGTAAAAATTACTTCTACTTCTAAAGGAAATATAAGCAAACTTGATTTGATGAAATAGATGATGCTGAAGTTTCTTTTTCAAGTAACACAAATATGAAAGATCAACATTTTAATATTATCACTGTATCTACACAGTTTTACGCAATTGATAATGTAGCTAACATAAAATAACATAAAGGAAAATTTATTACAGAAAAATGTAATTTCATCAACCTACTTTTTATTTACTTTACTGAATTTCAAGAATCAAACTACCTTTTCAAAAATAGAAAATTTATCATATACTTTGACACTCTAGAGAATTTAACACATGCTGTCACAAAAGTATAAGATATACAGCATAATCTGATCTTCTTAATTGCTAATCCTAATGCTAAACAGATGAAGATTAACACTAAAAAAGATTACACAATTAAAGTATCAGATATTTCTCTTTTTTTAAATCTAATATAGTTAGAAATTTCTTTTCTAAATTTAGTATGATCACTCACTTTTTAATGATTATTAGAAGGATAATGAAATCAACTTATTAGTTGAGGAAAGAAGGAAGAAAAACAAAGAGTACTATATAAGGTACAGAGGTAATAAGACAAAGTTTTAGAGAAATGTAGCTTGACAAATCAATCGAAGATTCGATACAGCATATTTAATTCATCAATGCGAGTTGAAATAAAGGAATTCAGTACAGGATTATAACATAAATAAATAAATAACAATATAATGATAAATATAACTTAATAGTATAATTAATATACTTTAAGATTTTACGATTATTGAAATAGAGTGAGAAGAGATAAGAGGTAGACCTATACTATAAAAAGATTATACAACCTCTTCAGGACTCAATTCTAGGATAAGCCAAGTAATAATTAAAAATGTTTAAATGATTTTTTAGATTTATATTAAATATATTTACTTTTTTAGAATTGAGATACACTCGTAGGAGAAATCGTAATTTACTTACTACAAAGTAAATACGAAATATAAGGCAAAACTGTGACAAGCTTGCGAGGCAAAACTAAAATAGATGGCAAAATCGCGATATGCTTGCAAGACCTGCAAGGCAATAAAAATTTCAGTTTTTTCTTATTGTTCATTTTTTCTTTTCATATTGTACATTTAATTTCATTTTTCATTTTGTTTCATTTTTTTGTTTTGTTTCATTTTTCTAATTTCATTTTTTATTTTGTTTTATTTTTCTAATTTTATTTTATAGTTTCTTTTCATTTGTTTAATTTCATTTTTTCATTTTATTTCATTTTCCTAATTTTGTTTTATAGTTTTTTTTTGTTTGTTTTTGGGTGATGTTTATTTGTTTTTGTTATAAGGTTGAAAGATATTTTAAGTATAATTTTTTGCTTTGATTTCTGGTATTATAAGGTTAGGTAAGAGTTTATGTTAATCTCTATCTGGATGGTTAGCTTACTAAATTTAAAAAAAAATAAGAATTCTGATAATTTAAAAAGTAAGATGAGTCAGCAAATGCTCCTTCTGCTAAATTATTAGAAAATAATAGAATTAAATTACAATAACTACTTAAATCTTATCAACTGGAAAATATTTAGAATGCTGATGAAACTGGCCTTTTTTGAAAAATAGAACCTTCACAAACTTTAGCCTATTTTAAAATAGTTAGATATAAAAAAGAAAAAGCTCATATTACAATACTTTATGTTACAAATTCTATTGATACTGAAACAATGAATCTAACTTTTATTTATCAACATAAAACACCTCATGCTATATAAAATCTAAATTATAAAAATCTTCCTGTTTATTATTTTTGGAATAAAAAAACCTGGATGCAAATTAGTATCTTTAATAAAGTTTTTCTTATACTCAATAATTAAATGAAATAAAAGAACTAAAAAATTATTCTTTTAATTGATAATGCTCCTGTTCATATTATTCTTAATGAAACTTAAACAAAGTTATATAATATGCAAGTTGAATTTCTTTTACTAAATACTACTATAGCTCTTCAACCTTATGATACTAGAATTATTTATTTATTTAAGTATTATTATAAACATCTTTTTATTAAAAATTAAATTGATGCTTATAATGATTTGCAAAATGGTATTGTATAAGAACTTGCAGATTATAATATTTATGATGTTTTACTTAATGTAGCAGAGGCTTAGTTTATGGTATCATCAGAAACTATTACAAATTATTAGAAAATAACTAATATTCTTTTACAAGAAATTAATTTTTCAATTTCAGTTCCTATTCTTAATAGGTATGTTTAAATTTTTACTATTTATAATAAAAAAATATATAATTTAATATATTATTTATTATTTTAAATAAAAATAAAATGCAAGAACTCAAAAGATTAATTATTTATCTATCAGGAAATGATCAATTTTCTGTAGATAATTATATTTATATCGATGATAAAATTGAAGGTATACTAACTGATAAAGAAATATTAGAAATGATAACAAATAAAAAGGATGAATGTAATAAAAAAGATGAATTTGTTGATGAAATAATAAGTAAAATTGAGAAGATAACTTTAACAGAAGCTGAAATGTATATAGATAAAATGATAAGATTTTTATATAAACAAGGATCAGAATTTGGAAAAATTAATGAAAAAATAAAAGTTTTAAGAGATTTATATAGACAAGTTCGATTAATGATCATAAAAATCTTGAACAAATTGATTTTCATTATTTTGAAAATAGGAATTAAAGGTTTCATATAATGATAAGATTTTAGGTATTTAAATAAAAGAAACATAATTATTTTATTGCCATTTTAACTATTTTTTTGCAAAATTAAAAATTAAATAAAGTATATTTATTAATTTGAAATTTATATTAATTTTATTAGTCTGCTTTATATACTGAACTATTCAGTATATAAAAAATTTTAATAACAAACTTTGGTTATAATGAATCAAAATATTTCAGCCTAATAAATTCAATATAAATAGAGTAGACTATAATATTATTATATCTAATAGATTAAATGCATAATCCTTCTAAATTTTTTATCAAAATAATCCAAAACTCTAATATTAAAACCTTTTAAAATAATTAAGAAATTAGTGAATTCTTCAAAATATTTAATGTTTAGTTTATTCTTATTTTTAATTTTTCACTTTGTTACATTATTCATAACTTCTAATAATCTAATAAAATAGGTTTATGATTAAGAATACTATTCAAAAAAAAATTAAAGCATTGTTTAATAAGCTGATCTATATAATATAAAATTTCTTATATAAACTCTAGCCTATTATCACATTTTTTTTTTATTTTAAAAAGCATAATAATAGTGTTACAGTCAATTCTTTAAGATGCTTATGAGTAATAAGCGAAGCAATATTTATGGGTGGTAAACAGAAGGTTTAATTTAATATTTAGATTTAGAAGAGTGTTGGTAAATAAACAGTTTATTTAATAACTATAACAATGAAGTACTGTCTCAATCAGCACTCTGTACTATACAATTATGTTAAAGAAATTAAACTAAACTATTTTATATAAAACTATATATCAGACACACTGCTAAAAGAAATGGTCCTCTATTTATATAAAATGAAAAATATAAAGTTATCGAAAATATAAAAGAA